CCCCAAAACCCCAAAACCCCAAAACCCCGCCTAGATTTATCAATATTGAAATAAGCTATAAATCACCATATTTTACATGGACAAATTCTGAGTATTCAGTAATATCAGCTAACTGGAATAACTCAAGTGCTATTTGTTGCTTACCCAGCGAGAAATACTTATAAATTAATAACTCTGATCATGCTAATTTGGAGCCAAGCTGGATTATGAGATCTATTGATTAGTATAAAAACATACTTAAAGGATGATTCAGGTCACTAAAAGGAGCTCCATCATATTTTCTTTTAAACACCAAAGTGTCTAATTTAGACTCATACTTCCAATGAATAGCATCTGGGGTAGATTGGTTTTCATCTAAGGTTCATAAATCGAAGGTGATTTTGGATAAGTGTCTACCAGCAAATACTATTCGTTGCAGAAGTTTCAGATCTATTATAAAATTGTATATTTCTAACTCGAGACGAGCTTTATTTTATCATGTGAAAAAGCACATTCTTGCTCAATAGAAGCTCCTGACGAGGAATGTTTGTGATAATTTCTCTTCCAAACTTTACAACACTATTGTCAAATTTTTGCTTGAGGAATTCAGAGATGATGACTCAGAGCTTAACTCAACTTCTCTCCTCTCTTATTGATTTCTTCTTTAGAGTTCTATTGAATGCGTCTATTATATCCCTAATTTAGATGTTAGATAAAGCTTTAATATACCCCATAATTTCAAAGGATCAAATACAATTTTTTCATTACCTTGAGTCTCTGGAAACAATTTTTTCACTATTTTAGAATCTAAAACTCAAATCTAACAACTTACAATGAGAAAGTGACAGCTTGAGTCTGAACCTACAGAAAGCAGCTAATCTTAAAGACCAAATAAGGTCTTTCTGAAGCCTAGTTTCTTCGTCAAGCACATACTGCTCTATGTATTGCTCTTTGTGTCTTCTTAAAGCTATTTCTTTGCTCGTACTCATTTGCGGTTATTTTATATTCAATTAATATAATATTCCGGGGTTTTGGGGTTTTGGGGTTTTGGGGTTTTGGGG